AGGATGGAGAATAACTACAAACGAGGCATGGGACAAACAAAACGTTCGAGTATCTGCAGGTTTGATAACCGAAGTGTGTGGTTAACGAGAAGTCAAAATAAATCTGCTTTTTATGAACATTAGGATCAATAGCAGCTTTTATACATTTACGTCTGAAAATTAACTGTTTTAAATCCAGAAGACAGTGTTGGTCGAGGATAATTGTTTATTGAGGATTTCAGATGGGACATCATCAATTTGGCATACATAACACAAAAATTTAATCAGAAACACAACAGCGCAGTTCCTGGCCGTACAACGGGTAATGAATGTAGCAATCGATAGTTATTCTTTGAGACCCAGCAAATGGTCCTCGGTGATTTCGTGGATTTTCGAGCGTTGAACGACATCACCAACTATGTTACCGATCTCACAACATTAACCACAGCATAATACCAAGATAGCAGGTTTATGACATTGGAGAAAAGGCAAAGAAGAACTACAGATTCCAGAAACTGACAACTACTTCCAGCTAATATCAGCCCTTCAATACCACACCTAACCTAGCGCGGCCTTATACGGTTTGTAACTTCAAGCCCCGGGGCATATGTTACCGTTTTCTACCTCTGAACCGCAGGTCCACGTGACTATGGGATCCATCCCGTCTACTATTCATCACACAAGTGCGTGTAATAAAAAAGTTAAGATTTGAGCAAGCCTTTCTGAATAGCTTGTGTTCTAGTGTAGCTATGTTCGGTATCCGTTTCACAACTTCAAAGTGTAAGACGTTGCTACAAGACTGAGTTGACCCAGCCTCTAACGGTATCCTAATTCGGGAAGCGAAAGACAAATGGAACAAATATTGCTGTTTGGGCAGACGCATCACGGATGAAGTGTCAGTAAGCAAAAATAAGACTCGGTTAGGATTTGCCAACTTGAGACATCTGCGGTGCCCTGAAGATATTTAGCTATCTATGAAGGGTTGAGTCCGACCAGTGGTGCTCAATGCTTCCGAAAGCCTCAGTATGGTAGGGATGCGTGCCTATCGTTGAGAATGGTCACCCTTCCCTTGCACCTCGCGAAATGCGCACATAAGACCCAGCGTCTCAAATAACCTCCGATGAGGAAGCCCTATTCATTGCCTTTTCATTGAGGTGTTTTCAACCCAAGTGAGAGGACAAAATGCCGATATCCGGGCATATAACCGGGTTGGTGGACCACTAGTAGCTCATCTAGGGGAGTTAGCCAAAAATACTGATTCCAAACAAACCAAGAGGAGGCGTACGAACCACACCCAAACCTGTTCGATTTTGGCGGTTGTGGTCACCGGCTCGAACGGGTATCGAGGTGTATTGGGCACCTTGGACGTTTGACCCCGTCCAAGGGACATATGATCCAATGAACTGGACACCGGCTCCCAATGAATTGCAGTTTTCACACACCATTCCGCTGTCTTGCGGGTCAGGCTTTAGCTAGCTGAAGGCTCCGGTTGTGGATTCTTCAAGAAAATTCACCTGCTTTGGCCTGGGCAACCTGGCAATATTCAGCCCACGAGCCAATCACGGAACGTTTTTCTTTTTTCATAAATATTATTGTGCTACGATTTCCTTGGCACACGGTCTGGCCTCAGACAAGTGTGAAATATGATAATCTTCTTAGCCACTTCACAAATTTAGTTTACCAGAATACCCCATCTTCTGTTTCACAATGCTCTCAACATTCCAATCTTCCTACTCTTTTATCCAAGTGGGCAACCAAAGACCTCGCACAAGGATGCATAGCTAATGGTTGTAGAAACTGAAACTGAAATGAACTCAGAAGCGCGCATAAAACTCTAGCGCAAAGTAAGCTCGTGGTTCATGCATTTTATTCTTTTTATTTCTGACAAAACCTTAGATAACAAAATTCAAACTTCTATTGGATAGAAGATATGTTTTAACACATGGATATGCGACTTACCGAAACTGATTTTCCTCGTGTAACGTGCTTGGAACATTGAAGGCATCTAAGAGAAAAGTAAAAATTAAAAGAGTAAAGGAAGATGGGTACCGTGGTTTCCTCGAAGGTCTAACCATTGGGTATTTCTCAGGACATTTGAATCACGTAAAATACGATTGTATATTCTCCATTCTTCTGTATATTGGCGTGAAGCGAATTTGTTTTTTGTTTTACCGTCAGTTAGATCACCTGGGGGGGGGGAGAGGATTATTTTCGCGCCGAAAGTTTATCCGAACCAGAGACGATAACAAGGTCAGGTTGAATAACAGGTATGCTGTCTGTACAAAACCGTTCAAAGTCAGTCGTACGAGATGCGTCGTCGAAGATGCTCAGATGAATGTCAGTTACCTGCGGGGATATGGGAAGATTAACATGCCCTACCTGAACGAACCAAAACAACCGATTTGAACGAGCAGCTATCACCGACTGATTTTGTTCTCTGTCCATTCTCCAATCCCGAGCACGGCGTAGCTTGGAACTGAGTTTGGTGTGAGAAAAGTTGTGCACAATTTGCGAGATGACTGATATGAACACCAATACCGACAAAATGGAGAACACCAAACAGCGAGCCATCTGTGTTGGACACTGAAAACGAGGATGAAATTTCAATTAATACTGAATGTAAAAACAATGCTACTCGTAAATTTTTTAAAGGAAACATTAATACCGATAATCTTCAATAAGTTTTGAAAGCTAACCAATGAGAATGCATGACTGAATTATTGGAACAGAATAACAGAAGTTAAAAAGTAGTGTAAAGTATAACTAGGTATGAAGGTTACCTTTAATCGAGCAATTAATTGCTGCCTCAAGATAAATCTACTCAATAAATATCACTAGTAGCAGCAACCAAATCCCGGTGATCAGTGGTCAAAGAGTTACTGAATGCCATCCAGTCACGGTTCTATGCGTATGAGCACCAGAAAAATTTAATGATAAACATGCACCATGCCATTAGTTAACACAAGGGTGGTAGCGGAAACCCACGGTAAATGCTGACCTGTTGGTTCAATGAAATTTTGTGTGGCGTTTAACCTACGTGAGGATAAGCCCACATTTACCTGATAGCGTTGGTTCGGATAGTCGATGTCGGGGGAATCGAAGTCTCCCAAGGGAATGCGCTGTAGTTAGTCCATTTACTCAACTCTTTTGGTGTCGATTTTTATTTGCCGCCTTCAGGGTCATCATCATCATCGTACAGTGAAATACTGTGAAGCGAAATTCACTGATTTCTGCCAAACTCATAATGCATACAAAGCCAGTGGTAATATGTAAGGTGGAGAGGGATTGGGTCTATTTAGAGGGGTTGGAAAAAGTTGAAACTCTATGGTTAACACAACGTACACAATCTAACTGTGCATACACTCCGTTTCAAGTACTCTGGCCTGATAAGAAATAACAAGAGCGTCACTTCTGTCCTTTCGCTGTCATATCTTTCAACGTCTATGATTAACCAGTTGCAGAGTCTTTGGGACCTCAACCTGGAAAACGGGAGATACCATTCCTACCTAATCGCTCTGTGTATTTTCTCGTGCCTCGTTTCCACATCATCTGTTGACCTCCACGGGCTTTTCTCCACCCCCGGTGCGGCAGACAACAACTGTAAAAACGCAATACGTGCCCTTGCCAGCGAAGCCTACCAATCTGAATTGGATGAGCTAACAAGTTTATCCCTGATAAACTCCCAAACACACGAAAGCTTAATTCCAGATTACTAACCCGATCACTCCTCATATGGGTTAAACTAAGGAAACACCGATAATCGGGCGGGGTGATCAGCGTCAACCCGAGACAACCGCCCCCTACCATACTGAGGCTTTCCGAGGCTTGAAGGTACAAAGCACACCGAATGTGATAACAGCACTTGTTAGTCTATCAAGAACGCTTTACGCATCCTCTATACGTTCGAACAGACAAATGATATTATCAGCGTAACCTAAATTGCACAGCTTTTATCAAGCTTTCCATTCAATACCTACGTTTTGGAGACCACACGATGCGTTCTCCAGAAGTTCGTGTATGACGAAATTGGACAGGAATGGCGAAGGAGAGCATCCTTGACGACCGCCGCTGTTGATGAGGACCGGACTACTTGGTTCGTGGTAAACCCTCAATCAACCACAGGTATGTGTATACAGTGACCTCAGTAAATTAACGTATTTCTGGAGCATTCCTTTTCGAAAAAGAGAACCCATTAGGGCTTCGTGGTCAACTAAGTCGAAGGCTCCTTTTAGGCCAAGGAAGAGTGCGATCATTGTTTGACGGTAGTTGTGACGAAACTCGAGGACTTAACACCACGCAAAAATTTGATCAGTACATCCATAACCAGGTTGGAATCCGGCTTGCTGTGCACAGGTATTAGTTTCTGTTAAAGGATTCGAATCATGACGGAGGCTAATCCTTAGGCAGCGATTGGGGTCAAAATTATCCCGTAGTGGTTTCGCAATCGTTGCGAGATCCTGTCTTGAAAATGAGAACTATCAGTAATTCGCCCCAAGATGAAGGAATGAGCTATTGCGTGCAAATATTGTGCAGTAAGTTAGTGATTTAGCTTACGAGGTTATCACCTCCAATCTTGAAAAAAGTGGCAGAGAGCCTGTCTGGTCTTTTTGCCTTTCCTCGCTTCGGA